GTAGAGGCTACATAAAGAGGATATTTCGAATTATTATCTCAAGACGTAATCACTCACACCAATCGAGATGAACACTATTGATTCAAAGATTGATTATTTTGACACAATGCACACATGCAGTTTCTAGTGGGAGTGTCATTGAAAGCCAGTGGAGAAGGAGACAGCTTCATTCAAACATTTATTTATTCAATAATAAATTCGGTGAATCAGGCAGTCAACTGGCCAAGCTATCAGTGAATGAAATGAAATATTTTGAAGTTGAGATAGTGTGGTGAGAGCTGGATGTTAGCCAAAATTGGTGGACAGTAATTTACGTCAATGTTTACGTCCCCAATATTTGTCGTGAGAAAAATGAGAACAAAGGCTCTGTGTAGGCGGATACAGTTAATATATAGATGATCTGGCATTCAAGAAACAGCCACAAAGAGATGCAAGGTTAACTTTTTGTGAGAAACAACCAATCAGAGCACTGTGTTTTTCTGTTAAACAATAATCTATAATATGTACATGAAAATCTATAAATATGTGTTGATATCCTTAATAAACGATCTGTTACCTGGCCCATGTCTTCTATTGTTACAATAGTGTACAAATGACTGCAGGGAAATTTCAACTAGGATAAGTGTGTGATGACGGAATGTGCAGACTCCATGAATTTTCTTGTGCACTTGCAGAATAAGTGTTGGAGATATGATAGAGACAGTTAATCTGACGCCAAGTGATTCACAACGAGACTGGTGCCATGGCGTCATAGATTCTTTCATCTTCTTTTACATCTTTCTGTTAGTTCCCACGAGATGGCAGGATTACCGATGATAAGACTGATACTTCATGTCCCAATGTGTCTGCATGTGGATGAAAAACTTGCACACCGTGTCACGGACAGCTTTGTCAACCTAAAGACGACAGCATAACATAGAACAAAGCCGAGGTGTGTTGTTGAAGCCCATCGTTTCACTCAGAAGCCAAGGGAACAAGTGGAATAATAAAATAACCTATGAAGTATGTTAGTCCGAAATCATAGAACTAGAGAAATCATCGTGTGAATTCAATGCTGTCTGAAAGTGAGTGGACACAATAATTTTGCCAATGTAGCACATATAATACAGCAGTCATCCATTATTCAGGATTTCCACTAGTTTTGTGGTTACTTCCTATTTAGCCTGCTCTGACTGTTATTCATCATTCTCACGTCTGCATGCAGTCTTTTCTCTTCGTATTCCGTTGATATGGATTTCTATGGCTACAATTCACTGTTATGTAATGATTGGTGGATGATAATAAGGTGGTATATTATTGTGACTTTCGTTGAATGAATTCAGTGGTTACCCCATCAAGTGGTTGATGTGCACTGTTCTCTCTGTCAGAAACTGGTTTTGTCCAATTTCGTCTGTTGAAGGCAGTGCTGAGGTTATTGCCAGTCAACCGTCTCTCCAGTGTATGTCCAATCCAACCATCTCTCTCATCCTCCACACATTTGATGACCAATGGTCTGCTGCTTCGTCTATTCCCTGTAAGACCTCCCGATTGCTCATCGTCTCTGAAAAGTCATCAAAATCCAGATAACGAAGGAATAAAATGCTGATATAAATCCTTTTTCAGGCTAATTTGAAATGCTCTTCGCGAAGAGTTCAACATTTCTCTGGACCATCAATTACCATCGACATCAGCGGTGAAAATCCCGAATTCCAAACTCATTTCAGAGTGATGAATGTGTCTCTTGCTGGTTTTGACACCTTCATCCGTGTCATCACCTAAATTTGAAACAATCCTGCCTAGCTGATATCAGTGTAAGAGGCGAAATTATTTGCACAACTTTCTCCCATTGACATTCACTGATGCTTGTTGTGGTTGATGATGCGTGCATATATATATATATATATATATATATATATATATATATATATATATATATACATGTATCACTGATACGGCATTCGGTCATGTGACACTGTCTGTCTACATGTCGCCTTACCAGTTACCTATCAAATTCCAGACTACTTCAAAGCTTGTAGAATACTTTGATTAAAATAGACAACACACACCATTTTGGACTTAAAAATGAAGCGGTTCGGTGACTCTCCTTCCTCTTCTTTTTATCTGTCGTCGACCAAAGTTCATTTTGATTATTCTGAAGTCGGTTAACTACTTATTGTATATCCACCAATCAATCAATCAATCAGTCAATGAATCAATCAACCTGAGTGAGTGTTATCAATTGACCAGTGTACATTTCATCACGTTTCATGGAATAGATCGGAATTTCCAAATAATATAGAGAGTTAGTGTAGCTTAGTTGGATGATTTTGATGTGATCGTTGTGTTGTCCACTGAGTCGGTTGTTGGTGGTTTCGTTGTGGAGCGGTTTTCACTGCTTTAACTTCAGTGCAACCTCCAATAAATATGAAGCGTGGGCTTATTTGAATTCCCTCCCCATGAATAAACCAATGACAAGCTATTTTATGAATGGGTTGATAAAATGACACTTATGCTGCAGGTGTTTGCTTATTTCGATCTAGTTGTGTCCTGTGAGGTGGTGAGTGGTTTGCGTGCCTTCCCAGACACCATCTGCAGTGGAAGCTTCAGTATGAAATGGAATTGTGGTGAAACCACTCAACTCGGAGAGAGAATACAACCACACCATAAGTTCAAGACTCTGTTGATGCTCTGATATTTTGAAGATGTCATCATCAGACACACATACTTCATTTGTTTTAGTTAATTTGTTATTTCCAGTTGATAGATTATCACATTCACCCGATATGTTCAGCCTCACCAACAGAATGCCTGCTATTACGCGGAAAGAGGATATCATCACCGCAACGGTAACAGAAGCCACCGAAACAGCAACGTGACACACAGGTTGTAAATGAATGTGAACATTGAACGTTGGTTCATTGGCCTTGGTCACCAATGGCGAGGAACTCGAAGACGCGAATGATTCAGTCGTGTACACGTTGGAAGAAGACGAAAGAATAGGAATAAAAAACAGCACATTCCTTGTGAAACACTTGTCTATAGACTTTGTACAGAGTATTGATTTTAGCTGCCAAAGAATACAATTTTTTATTGGTCCTTGTGTTTTGTAGTTAAACTCGATAATTTTGCCCAGTATAACTGTTGATTCGTGGCGTCGTCGCAAATAATAGGAACTTAGGGTTGAGTTCCTTGACACACGTTCTTCGATTCTCAGTACTGCTTTGGGAAATTATACTTCCCTTTCATGTTTCTCATTTTTGTGTCGTTTTCCAGTTGAGTATGCATGTAATATGTGCTTTGACGGAGCTTCCCAATTTCCTTTTTTCTTTTCGAGGTTTAAAGGATACCGCACTGACCGTAAACGAAGGACGACAACCGATGGAGTGATATTCAACCAATCCCTTGTACGCAGCATAGGTAGACGATCAGAAGGCGAATTGTTTCCACCACGTCCGCGTGAACAGTTTCTTAACTAATTCTGCCGTCATTAGATTCTCAACTTTCTTTTTGTTCCGTCGTAGGGTTCTCATTATCGAATTGGTGAGGATGGGGGAAGTGAGCTGTGGTGGTGAGCATTTCCTCAAATTAATTGACCGGCACCATTTTCAATTCGACAAGGGCCATCAATATTAGGACAGCCCATTAAGCTGAAGGCGCTTACCAAGTCAAACATACACGGCATGTGGCACGCTGTCATGTTTAGCTCACCCCCTTTCAGTGCACGCAACCCAGTAAGTCATCGCCGCTCAAAATATGTGATCCCCAAGTATATCTACCTCGTGTTATGAACGATAAATTTGTTATCTTGATTTGTACCTGGTGTAAGCAGAACAGCTGTTTCAGAAGTTGAAGGAGAAACCTTTGCGCTTTTATACAGAGTAAGGTATCCAGTATTTCCGTCGACACAATTCATCCTCCTGGGCCATCAAGGCGTACATCATGTTCGCCAAAGTTTTACAGAATATACTTCGTGGAACTAACGCAGTCACCATTTCTACTGCTAGATACACCAAAGCACAGTTAAGCACGAGCCTACACTCTCAGTTGGAATTTCTATATCGTCTATTCACTTGTGACTCCATTTGGATACATTTCTCCCGCCAGAAAAGTCACAATTATTTATATTCAATACTTGATCAACTAACCCACACTCAACAAAAATCAGGATTATTTGATGGCATTAAGCAGCGTAAGTTCTGTGTCTGTTTTCTACTCAACTGAGTGATATTGTTGTTGATAGACATTTCGATTCTAGCAAGCAATTCATTGGCTACCGTCATCGTCTCTAGTACTGAACAACCTCCTCATTATTCACAATCTTCGCGTGTATCTCTTCGGATGAAAGCATAAGAAATTTCATACGAATTTATGGTCGAACTACCACTGAATATACAAATTCCACCACACCATGTTTAGCACGGGTGTTCTGTGGAAAGCGACGAATTTCATAATAGCGATTATTGGAAGCTGTTTGAAAATGTATAAATAGAAAGTGAATGATTACCCGCATTTTATAATTACACATGCATCACTCTTCTACTAACTACCTCATTTTGAGATTATATTGATTCATTTTACCATTTTCATGTATTCACTTATTCACATACTTGTGAAAGGAGATATGTTGATGCAATACGTACACAGGTTGAAAACGACATCCAGTATGAATACCGATGGCATGGGATAAAGCGGTTATCATTATTATCACTAGAATCATTAGGCTATTTTACCAACGTCTTCATCATATCCCATAAGACAAGAGTATATCCACACAAGTCTTTTTTTGACCAGAGATGCATGAGTGTTAGCAATTAGAAGGCCAGTGTGGTCACATTACACGAATCATTTCGGTGTCATTTCGCCGGTCAGCCTAACCAGAGAAATTGCGCTACACTTTAGCTTGTCTCACATGAATATTTCACTGCCCAGCCTGATGACCAAACGGCTCTTCAACCCCACACCACCACACTTCACCCCGTACCAATTCAGTCAATAAAGCGAGAATATAATACTTCAACCTGTTCGAATATGTATTTATTTAGTGATAGTATTCAGAGATGACAGTGAGAAATACAATCAAAAGGAAAGTGTAGAAACTCCAAACTTTCGTCGGTTGCAGATCTAATTAGCTCTCAGGTGTTCATTGTTTAGCTTTGTGGCTGTGAAGTGCTATTTCTCATTCCGAATGGTGAATATATCCACATCACTGTGAGAAATAAACTCCAAAAATCACCATAGATATTTCGAGCTGGTTTGGCAATGTTATTCTCAGGATAGTGGTATGTGCCTTGCCCAAATACCCATTTCACTTCTTTCGCAAGTAACTGGTATCAGTGTCAATGTGACATCATCCATGAAAGAAAGAAAGATGGAAAGTGAATAGAAAGTGTTGATGAAATCAATGACTGAGTTTTGTTCAGTGGAGAAGTAAAGTGGACTTCAACTAAAATCAGAACTGAAGTGTGTATATACTCATTCAGCGTAATGGGATAAGATTGGGGTTGAACTGACGACTATTTTCAAGTGAGTCAGAATGTCAACATATGGTGCAGATAAAGCGTTTTTAGCCGGAAACTTTTAACAAGATGTTTTTACCACTAGTTGACTTTGCTCAACAGTGAAAATTAGTCAACCAGTCAGTAAGGATAAACAATAAGGATGTCTGGAATCCATCAAACGAATATATTGGTGCCCGAAAAATTGCATCAGGTTGTGGAGATTGATCTTTTGGACATACACTGTGAAGACCATAGAGTGATATCATTGGCCATTGAGGTCGTCGGTGGAATGTATTTCGAGTGGGAAACACTCAGTTGGCAACGTGACCAACAGTGACTTGGAGGAGATATCCTACAATCCAGCCGAATAATGTCTCGATCCATTGGAAACAAAATGTAGTCCTGCATGTTGATGATTCCACCTCGGACAAAGCTTACAAACAGTCTTCACCTGAAGCGGTGACCATCATTAGTGTCTGTCAGGAATGGCCACGGTCGCTATTCCTGTTTAGTGTCATCAAAGATGCATTACTAAAGTCGAAACCGAAAGACTTTGGTAACTAAGCTTCAACTCGTTACCTAGTCGGAGTTTCGTTGATTTTCAGCAAAAGGATGATATCTTGTTCCATCATGAAGAGGCTTACAAAATTCGGTCTTTTGAAGACTTTGAGCAGAAATTTTCAAAATATCTTTGCCTAATTCATCCCTACCAAACGTAAGATATTTTCTCAGGAGTGAACTAAGTTGACTCATGGCTTAAAGATAATAAGTGAAGTGTTTTCAGGACTGTGTCAACTCTAACAGACTGATTCGTAGCTGACGAAATGTCATCAGAGATTCAGAAGTCTCGTGAGCTTTTCGCCAATCCACGTCATCTCTGTGTCACGAATGTGCTGTATGAATATCTATCAAAAGAAGTGTGATCTACACAGCCGTTCACTCTGACTTCCATTATCACTGTTAGTGTGACATACACATAGAGGACGGTTCATATGATGAGGTTGGCTAACTGCGTTCTGTCTTCCTTGTTAAGTGGTATCGAATATGGTGATAAATAGTAAAGTCAGGCGAACAGTGAGGGGAGTCATTCAATGAGTTTTACATAAATAGGACGGGTGTTGGCCATGCTGAGTCACCACGTACTCCAATGATCAGTAATATTTGACATTTGTTTTGCTTTGAAAAGAGTTTGGTGGAGTGGTCAGACAAAAATCTGAAATCAATCGATGAGGCTGCAAACACAATTTGAATACTCCCTGAACATTAGAGTATCATGGTTTTCCGTGCAACAGGTTTCCAAGCTAATTTCAGAATGATAACGTACTGATTTGTCATCTCAATTGTGGCTGCCTCTGACACTCATTTATTCCTCCTGTCATTGGAACGATGCTGTGTAGATGACTGAAAGAAGTGACCTCGTTCACAATCATTTGCTAAATATAAACTGATACTTCTTGTTGTTGGTTGACTACATAATTTCATCACCACTATCTACTGTATGCTCACTTGAAACCAGATCATCAAGATTCCTCTCACCGGTCCAACGTATTCCTCAACTGGCTGTTCAAACGCGTTCTACCAATCAACGCAGTTCGCCACAATCAGAAATGTCGTCAGTGATCGTAGGTAAACTTGTCTTAACTTCGAAAGCTTTGGGGAGATTTTCGTTGAGGATCACTTGTTATAGGCCATCGTCGTCATACAGCTGTTGAATGAGCTTAAAAAAGGTTTGCGACACTATACTCCATAGTGTTGAAGCAATTTGCAAGTTACTTCGCGGCCAACACAGTCGACGGCTTTTCCAGTATTGATGAAGTTGAGGCAGAGTTTTGACTGTCATCCTATACCATGTTTAACGATGATGTGTACAGTTGCAATTCGATCCTCACACCACCTAATATGTGGCTTGGTGTGGATAAGGGCATGATTCCACTCCAGTTTTCTCAGAAGCCTAAGTCGATCTACTTTGGTAGTTTGACATGACAGCCTTTCTGTTGCAGTCAGTTAGTAGCTCCACTCTCTTCCAAGCCTCTTGCAACAGTGATATCAGCATAACCTCTGTGGTCTCCACTTGTGTATATCCTTGTTTTGCTTGCACATGCTCCCTAAAATCAAAGAATCGTGCGAAGCAGGGTATTTCAAGAAGAGTTCCGCCTTCCCAGTCGCTCCTCTGACAGCCAGTTGACTCGTGATGAATTCTGCTTCTGTATTGTCTGCTCTCAGTTCTGCAGTCATATCGCCGATAAGGTACTTGGTATCGCCATTGAGAGTACTATCCATTAATATTCGCAGTTTTCTCTAGATATCTTCATTGTCCTCATGTTCTGAGTTGTGTATAATACTACGAGTAGCACTGTACAACTGTAGCCTTTCTACGTTTCAAGTTGAATATGACGATCATATCTCCTGGGGAGATTGGTTTCCATTGCATTATAGCTTTGGCTGCAACTGGCGACATCATGATAGCCACTCATTCCCTCTGTGTACTCGTGGTTTCTCTCTGCCTGGTGGGAGCAAATTACTGACTCTCCAGTTGACAATTATGATAGTCCATATCCATTCCACCTACTCCCTCAGATTACCTCTACCTCTGTACGATATATATTCTCATTTCTTTAGCGACCTGGACACGTCGCCTAACAGGCATTTCGAAGGTATCCACCAGCCCACATCAAGCTGACTATCTAATTTCAGGTAAGAATTAGTTTCCTTTTATAAAATTTCATGTGATTTGAAGTTTCTTCAGGGAAAGGATTGATTTCTCGAAGAAGGGTGAACCGTTCAACCCACTACGTCCCCTACTTCCCGGGCATAAGGCTAGAAAGCAAACTAGTGGACTGGTAAATTCGTTGAATTTTTTACTCAATTTTATTATTCTGTGATAGGTATAACACTTCATTTGTGAAGATGTCAAACACGTGTAGTAACGTTTCTATAGGTGATTTTTTTTCCACTCCGAAAAAAACACGGGGGTTCAATCTTAAGCCCTAAAGATTCAATAGTGATGTTATTCCTCAACGGCGAAAGGTTTTCAGCTTTATGTCCACCCAACCCTTTCACCGTTTTCAGATTTACTACTGGCTGGTTGACCAGGTGAAATTTATCATTGCACTCATGGTCAAAAATACAATCTGGACCACTAGAGTGTCGACCGGTGAGTTTACTTTATGCCTAAAGTCATGAGTGACACACTAAAGAACCATAGTCGTTGCGTATACCATAGTCGACATCATAATGAAATAAAGTGTTGATCAGTGTTGAAATTCAACTTACATAACATGCGCATGGGAATCCAATTGCCCCTGCGATAAGGAGAGCAATCTGATATGAAGAGAAAAGATGGGAAATAGAGAAATTCTTCGTCATTATCATCAAACGACACAAATAAGATAAAACCATTGAACGCCATGGCAGCAATGGACACACAAACGTCAATGTCTATGTGATTGATGGTTTCTTGATGAATGTTTCATAGCTGTATCGATGTGAAGCTTTGATCAGTGAGGTCAGCCATGTGATGGGTCGCTTGGATGTTCTCATGGAACGGACTGGTTGACTGTGGTATTTCGATACTACAGACTGGAAGAAATTAGAAGTGTTGGTTTATTGAGTTCTGCCTCAGTGACTGAATGGCCATCGAGCACATAGGAGGACTGAGTGACTGTCTTTAACTTCGTGATGGTGGTTTTGAATGGTTTTGTAAGTGAAGGTACTTTGAGATCAATTTCGAAATCAATCAAATGTCTGCGAACACAAACCATTGAGAATAAAATTAACACTACTTGTTGTGGTATTTGAAAAGTTTCACAATGTGGGGAAATCAATGGTCATGAAGGTGAACAAAAATACATCTCCAACTCACTTTATTCTGCTGTTGCACAAAGAAGGCGATTTGACCACCCAATATCGTCACAGTATACACAACGTTGACTTTTCGTGTTAACCATGTCTGAGTGAAATCATTCGGAATGAATATTGCGAACGAGACAACGACTTGTAACATCACCCATATGAATGCGAAAAACAACAGTGGGACATCATTATGATAGGCTAATGATTCTGTAGCGATGATGACAGAGGAGAGAATCGTCTGTTGGTGAGAAGCAAATTAAAGACAGCAGAGAGTATTGACAACATAGTTTAGCGAATATAATTTATAACTATTTAATGAAATCACTTTTAATGTTTTGTCTCTCGTCAAGTGATTTTTAATGTCGACCTCGAGTCGGGAACCAATATTAGAGAAGTATGGTTAAATAGCAATTCTGCATTACTAGGAAGCTGTCTCACCTCAGTAGTTTGGTTACAGCTCTGCAAATATTGCGAATCCGAGACCCCAACACTGGCAATCGAGTCAACTAGAACCTTCAGGATACAGGGACTAACCGCTGACTTCATACGAAATCTGAGTTGAAATCAGTTTAAGTCGCTTGAAGACAACTCGATATGTATGTGTCAATCTTTAGTTCATTTACAGCGACTGGATGGAAGTTCTTATGTTGTACTGAGAAACCATGACCAGTAACATCCACCTTGTAAAGACTAAGTTGATACTCACCGACGGGTGTGTTTAACGATTGTAGCGCTGTTTCACGAGTTGACAGTAGTTAGAATGCTAGGGTCATTGAAATCCGGCTCAGGTGACTGCGTGGTCAGTAAGCTTAGCGTAGTTATGCGGACATGTAATGTGTGTGCAATACCAACCATGCCACCAAGGTGGTTGGCATTTGAATCCCGGTTAATAACGTGCACTTATAAACGTTGCTTAGACGACACAGAACACCGAAGTAAATAGAGGGAATTTTTGCTGCGTGTGAGGCTACAACCCTCAAAATTTATAAGTGAAAACAACACCACCGCTACTCAAAAACTCAGTACAATTCAATGTCTGAGGCTCTCTCAATATGTCAGGCATAGAACGCAACGGAATGCTGTCAAGTCTTCGCAATTCACCGTCAACATCAAATTACTTGATCTTAAGTGAAAGTGGAAGCTTCAAGTGAAATGAAGTCAAACGCGCAACATTTCGGCTTACCATTATCATTAGATATACAATATTCCAGGGGAAAACTGTTGACACCGTTCTGACGAAGGCCCATATGAATTCGAGAGTGAAGTATATCCCACTATAGGACACAGGAAATGAACAATGTATACATATATTTAATTTTACCAGTACTTAATAGAACCATATATTTAACAGATTAAAGTCAGCCTAAATCATTGGTTGCCTGATGAGGGTCTCAGTTTCAACAGAACTGTTTTTGCATATATTCCCCAAATTGGGGATTTGATTGTGGGAAAAACAACAGCAATGGTTTGTTCTGAATGGGACAACACCATCATTTGTAATTCGTCGGCCTGTAATCAGCTGCCTACAGCTTAGACACCAAGTGAATTAAGTCTATACAGATAGCGGTTCTAACGTCCTTGTAAGTACAACATGATATCAGTTTACAGGAGAGATTCCAACATCAGTTATCACTGCTCAGAAATTACACCTGCATACACACTCACACACAGAAGGTTCAAGTTTGAACAGAGAAACTGACGTCTGGATACAGTGTGGAAAGTAGTTGAATAATGATGACAGTGAGGTGAATAATAGACTGCGTGACCATAAGGTGGGATCAATAACCCAAATCACAAATACAAAAAGGACGGGGTAAAATGAATCATGCCTGGAGAGGAAAGAGATTGAAGCCAAAGAATACGTAATCGAAATAAATGAAATAGTAAAGATACTCCGTTACCAGAGGAATTGAAATGTTACAACTGCAGGGAGTTGAATAAACGCGTCACGACATTGTTGTGTCTGCGCCTGCTATTTTTTATAACGGTAATGAACTCGAATGACAAGTTAATATGTCCATTTGTCCGCAGTACCTTCCGATTCACTGAGTCTTGCAAATAACAAAAGACAAAGGCTGGCGTGTGACTGTAAGTTATTGTATTGTAAATTTATTCGGAATCAAAACATCAAATTTATACATTATTTTACCACAATGAAGTCGCTTCACAGCCATGAGAATGGAGTGTTCTTATCGGCTGAAAATATATATTCTGATTTGTTGACGATCCGATAAAGACCAAGACGAGACAACGCATGATGAATTGATCACTCACTAGATCACAATGTGCATGGGATATGATAGATCTACGTAGTAACTCCATCACAAGATAAATCACATCGTTTGTGAGAAAGGATGATATACTAATTTATGCTGGATCCTGTCACAGAGACAATCGAGAATATTCTCTGAACATTCATCAAGACGCCTGTGTCGCAAGGGAACGTTCGATTTCAATAATTCTACAGTCGGGCATCTCGTTGATACGTGTCATGAGGTAGACACCAATAAATCTTTTGGAGTTATCGACAGAAAACATAAATAAATTCCCATGGAGTTTGTCGAATAAGTTGTTTGAAATCCGACTTATGTTGTCAGAAGAAGGCAGCCATCAGTGTGAGCATGCCTTGGTAACTAGATGTCTTTCTCTTTCTTCGAAAACTCTACCGTTGGATTTAAACTCTACACATTTGCTGTAATCAAATTTCTCTTGTCTTCTATTTCGACGATTTGAGTCCAACTCATCACGTTGTTACTCAGCTGATTTGCTATTCACCACCTTCTGCACCTCCAATCCTAACTGCACAACTCCTTCTTCATACTATCTGCAAGCATTTAACTTGGTTAGTTTTGCTCCAAGATTATTCACAGATTGTCTTCAGTTGGGAAACAATGAGTTGAATGTGTGTTGGTCGTTTAGACCAAATTGACGATCATTCAGTAGTAGCATGGAATTAGACACATTTATGCTTTCTATCGTGGTTACCATTTATGAAATTGCGCATATCACACATTTTGTGCGTGATGTGAATAATTTCAGTTTCAATTAATTACCAATGAAATTTCACCTCCTGGAGATGCTTGAAATGCAAATTAGTGTGCAAATAACGAATTTGATTCAATCAATTTGATACTTTCGGATTTCGGATCCAATGTGCAGATATTACGGTATTCTACAGTTCTTTCTGTTGTGCGTGTGGAAAACAGACCTTTCTGCCACAAGATCTGAAGTTTTATTCAACCAACCCTCCCTCTTTACAAGCGTCCTAGCTACTGGCTAGTAGACAACTAATGAAGGTATGTAGAAGTTCGTCAAACGACAGGGAATGCAAACCAGACTACCGCGTATGCTCAACAATCGTTTCGAAATTGAATTATTGGGGTGTAACACAATGAAAAATACTGCTAAAATAAAATCAGATTACAACTTACGAAACCACGTAGATAACCTCGATGTGCGTTAGCGTCCAAAATGAAATGCTCTCACTAAATTATACACAATATTTCAATTCAAATTTATCATTTGGCATTTGCACAACATACGTTAGTGTAATCAAAGCTGTTAGACCGAATGCAATCGCCAGCTGAATAACCACTATTGCAAATACCTAATGGGAATTAAAATAATAAGGATGAGGTGAGCTTAATTATTGAAAGTCATGTTCAAGGATATTCAACATAGAAGTCTCAGTGGTGTTTATTTTGTAAGACATTTCTCCACTGTACTGAGAATCTTCAAATAAACTACTAGTCGACAGAAACACAGTCATTCTTTCATAATAGAACCAACTCCGAGTTCTCTTCGACACTATTTGTCCTTGTTACTTTCTTCTTTGCATGTAAGTTAACAAATTGGTGTGGGTGGAGTGACTCTTCTATTCAGCATACCTGTTTACCAAGTCGTCGGAAAGTAAATTTGAGTATTTCTGTATAGGGGAGAATGAGAGTTTGAGATGTGTTCTGCAATACCTGGTTGACTTTCCTCATCCCCCTCATTCAAGTATTCAATGGTCCTAAAAATACCTGTCAAATTCATGTTAGCCGGCGATGTTTCCCTCTCTCCAAACTTCTGAAGACAACGAAGGTCATCAGAATGTTTGTGAACTTAATCCAGACATAGTGGAGCCAACATTATTCATTTTGCATTTTGCCAATTTGATCTATGTACGTTCCCCTAATTAATCTGATTGTTCTTCCTTTGTGCAGTTTCGCGTGATATTTGTATTTGACCACTAAACATATCAATCCTTTCAACCTCACGTTTCGATTTCAACATTTATGTACTTATATATCACTTGATATTGACGCGTGATTATTATGATAACATTTTTGACTGCATTTCGCATCTGCCATTTTTATTATTATTATTACTGTTCAAGTATTCACGTATTTTGTCAAAATGTCTTCATGGGATGATAAATACTGTAAGAAATTATATGTATATACCATTTTCAGCTTGATGATATTATTCGTATACGGGTCACATTCCTACCTAATGCACTTCTGCAGACCTCACCTACTATTTTGGGAGTCAAATAAAGTGAGAAGTCTAAATGTGTGTGAGGTAAGCAACCTAAGCGTGTAACATGGAATCACAGCTACTGAAGCCTCAAAGACTAAATGGTGAATGAAGCCTTATTCTTCTGACTGACAACAACAACACAAAGGAATGAATGAATGTTGGAGCAGCACAATGAAATTCGAAGTTTTCATATGTCCTAATAGAAGTAAAGGTGTGTGGGGTGGCGACTGGATGACAATCTGTATCACACGTTCTCCACATAATCATTGATAGATAAATGCATGAATAAAATATGATAAGCTTACAGTGATAGTAATGCAAGGAATGAGTGTGCTGCATGGAGCATAGATATCTAGTGCCACATCTTATGGGAAGAATGAGCAGCGGGTAACATTACCAAACAGAATATCATCAATTGAGTGTATGTGATGGTCACGAGTTCTACTTCTATCTGAATGTGATATGTAGGAAGGAGATCATGTGGGGAGGAGAACAACAAAGATTATTGGCCATCGTGTTCACACATGGAACAGAATGCAGAGTTGCAGGGCGATGTTTCCCTCAGAAACCAGTGAAATCATAATTATGATGCTCAAGAATAATCTTAATCAGAAAATAGACATACATAGACAGAACTCACATTCAATATAAATAAAATTCGCGATGGCGTTATTTTCCTGGTCAAGATTCGTATTAGTCGGAAAGGATCATAACACGATGTTTGTT